AGTTACCTCATGACTCTCTAGTCTTACATCAGATAGGAGTAGGAATATTTTATAGCATCTGAGTATAGGAACTCAGGAACTGAGTTATCAGGAATTCAGTATTAGGAACCAGCTGGGTAGGGGCCAGGGGCACTGCAAAAACAAGTTTCAGTTTTATTGAGATAAATAGTGACTGCTTTGAATTCTTTCGTAGTTCCTCATTCATTACTGTTTAACCAAGAATTCTTAAAAAGAACTGAGAAAATAACTTGATAATCTGGCTTCAGTATAAAACATAGAACTATGTTCAACTGCACTGTGAGACAGTTGTCTCTCATCAAGCAGACTCCACAAGGGACTTCTGCTCTCAGATTATGAAGAGCAGAAAAGGCAGTAGATGATAGATATGTTGGGTTGGCCCTGGCTGGATAATGGGTGCCCACCGAAGCCACTCTATCACCCCGCTCCTTAGGTGAACAGGGGAAATTATTTTAATTATATTTAATCAAATCAGAGTATGGTAATAAGAAATAAACCCAAATCTGAGCTTCCCCTGTTAAAGGAGCTGGGCTTTTAACTCCAGATCAAGGGATTCCAAGAAACTCTGTTTCTAACATAAAAATCAAGCTGTGTTGCTTCTTGTGAGATACTTTAACCTTTTGGAAACAGTGATTTAGCAGTTTGAAAAAGTTTATACACTTACTATTTAGTAATTTTGGATGTGCACCAAACTATACCATTAGATCTTTTTGTGTCGGTATCAGAAGAGAAGCAAGTGGAAGTAAATTTTGGTAGTGCTGAGAAAGACAGAGAATTAACTTTGCTCAGTGCAGTGGCATTAATTTTGTTAAGTCAATACATCTCTATCAATCTTTACCAAACAAGTAGATAATGTATATTGTGACATATTTCCTTATAACAAGAGTGCCATAAAACAATTGTCCAGAATTTAAAAGTACAAATATCCACAACTATATTATTAAAAGTGTACTTTATGGCTCATTGGTGTCTGCTTAAGAAATGTGGTAGCATGACTTCAGAGGTGAGGCACATAGTGGTACGTTGGCTTGCCCAGATGGATGAAGAAATTGGAGAGATTGCCACTGACAGCAATGGTGAAGACGAGTGTGGCACATATCCAAAAGGGACCATAAAGGTCAGGATTGCTGCGGATATACAGCCTTACAAAGTTCTTCCCTGGTACTGGGAAGAGTCCCGAGGAATCCCGGAGCTGCTGTTGGAGAAAGCAGAGAGTTATGGGGGTCAGGAGAGATCAAGCCTGAGGATCGACGGTGATGGATGAGCAGAGTCCTCCCCGGATGCCGGCCATGGACGGAAGAAAAGGGAAGAAGAAGGAAGGAAGTTGTCTTCTGTGATCTCTGACCTTCCTCTGAGCTTATGTAGATATATGGAATGGAATATCTTTGGCCAATTTTGCTGTCTGTCTAACTCAGCCTCCTACGGGGGGGTCACAGATCTCCCCGTAGTGTCTGAGCTGGCAGGGTGCAGGTGCAGCCTTGAAGCCTCAGTAGTTAAAAAAACATTCCACTGTCTTATCAGCCTAGCAGAACACACTGTTGCTAGTTACAAGAAAGCTTACTGAAGGAAAAAAAAATCAGTAAAAAGAAAAATTGGCTTCATCCTGGCTCAAACCAGAACATTAATATATGGCTTTCACTGGACAAATAGCATCAAATATAAGCTGTGATCTAAGGCATAAGAGGGCTTACAGAGAAATCTAAAATGCTGTGATTTTTAATGTAGTTTGGGGAGACCTAATGTTTAGAGTAGATTATCTGCTTCTCTGTGTTAAAAAGTTGGGGTTTTTAAAATTATATTTAAATTTTGTTAGCAAAGTTTAATTCCACTAATGGAATTTTAGCAAATTTTGTTAAGGTTATTGCAGTGGAAATAAGAAATGTGTAACTAAATGATTGATCCATCAGCTTTTACAGTTCCAATTTGTGCATGTATTTAACTCCTTCTATGAGTATTTGCCAACATACAACAGGACACAGGTGTGGAGTATGAAAGCTGGTGGAATGGAATACAAACACTTCATTTAAAGTTGAGCTGCAATTAAACCTGTTTTAAAAACAACCACCATTTTTTTTTGTTTGTTTGTTTCTCCTTGTTCCCTTTTAATTGTAATGATTTTGTCACAAAACATGGAATTCCATATTGAACTGAATCATGTTTGATTCCTAATGTTGATTTTGGAAAGTGTACTGCAATAGCTCAGGTGCCCTGGCATTTCTTGTTTCTGTTGATTTTAGAAGACACAAGTTTGATGTGGGATTAGAAAACTGACTGAGCATAAATCACCATTAGATGAGGATTACTCTGCTCTTGTGTCTTCCTCACAGGAGACACACCACAGAGTTTTTGCTACTTCAGCTCCAGCTCCTGACAATACTAAAGAAGAAAGCAAAATTGGGTAAGATACTAAATTATACCAGGCTATCTAAGGTCTTTGCAGTCCTGTTATGTATAAATGACTTGTCTGAAGATGTATATTAGTGTTTAAACACACAAATAAATGTGCATGTGTGACAAGAGAGGGGAAAATTTTATTTATTTTGAAATTGTCTGGTCATGTTGTAGCAGCAGGCATTTAGACTCAGTTCTCATGAAAAAAAAATAAAGTTGATCCCATGCTCCCCTAAAGCCTCCTTTTACTGAAAAGCAACTTCATTATTTTTTGAGAAGTCTCTTGTGAAAGACCATAGTAATACAAGGCAGCTAGCACAGGGAGTTTTGATTAAAAGGCAAAAGCTATTAAGCTGATTTTGCATTGAGTATAGAATCACTTGGAGTGAATAGACTGGGATGAAGATTAATATCCCTAGTTTTCAGATACAACTATATAGATAATTATCAACTCTATAGTTAATTATAACACTCCAAGCCAGCCAATATCAACTTACCCTGGAGGAATAAGTAGGGAGGCGTTCTGGCATGTCATCATGGTGCAACAGGTCAGACATGAGGCAGTCAAGCACACAAACCAAAGTCTAAGACTTAGATATTAAATGACAACATAAAGTTCAGAAGCATCCCTGGTGGGATTTATATGTAAAGATAGGAAATAACTCCTTTAGAGAGGAAGACCACCTCTTCCAGAAATGGGAGTGGAAGTTAATTGTAGCCTTTTTTTTTTTTGCATAAACAGGGAAAAAAACAGAAGTGGAAGTTACAAGGCCTGATTCTCAAAGGTGGTTACCCATAATGTTTGTTATTTTAACGTTTTTGGACTTCGGAGTATCAAATAGCTTTGTGAATCTAGACTGCAGTGCCTGCTAGGCAAGAAACAATTTTTGATAGGAGACAAAGGGTTGACTATAAAATAGCATTTTAATAGATTATACTTTTGAGTAATATAGAAGATATATTATTTAGCTTATTTTTTTATAGTGAATGTTGAAATGAAATGCAAAATAAACAGGTAGATAGAGAGCAGTAGCAGCATGAGATGAGGCAGGTACGTCATGATCAGTCAGCATCTGCAGCTTCATCTTAAAAGGCATTTCATTTAATAAAAAAGGCAGATAAAAGACTTGTATTTCTAGTAAAATTATTTAAAATCATCTGTTCAAAAATGCTGTTAGAAAAATGCAGATAATCAGAAAAGTTGTTTGCACTCAAGTAGAAAGATTATACAAGTATCTAGAACAGGTCTGGAGGAAACACAAGGATAGTGTTGCAGTTTGTCAGGTCAACATCACACTTACATCGTGTCTTGCCAAGGAACAGTCATTCTGTAGAAATGTATTAGCGTGCTTTTAATTTGTAATCAAATTGCAAGGTGAGAGTTTCCCTCTAGTGTACAGCAGAGGAAAAAAAACAAGATACAAACATTTGTGAATGCACAGCAATTGCACTAATACCTAACCGTCAGTTACAAGGCATCTTTACCCGAAGGCAGGATACAAAGTGTTCACATTCAGGTTGTTTAATTAGGACAAGTAATGGTTACAATCATTAGAGTAATATTATTTTCCAAGGGTGCTTGAACGAGTTCCCCTGCAGATCCCTCATGGCTGCATTATCTTTCAGGAACTAGGAATAAAAATGCAGGCTCTCCAGCTCCAAATGCAGATTCTTAAAAATAAGGTGTCCTTCTCTCGTAACAGGACCTACAGTCCCTAGAGAACATGACTGTATCTATGCAAGTGTTAGTCATCACAAGAAATACAGCTATAGTCAGGGAAAGAAACCAACAAATCAGGCCTGGTTGCTTTGCGATTTAAAAATGTGTTCTTTCCTCCTGCTGACCCATCACCTTACTCTTCTGTCCACCCAGATGCACATGACAGTGTGACAGGAAGATAGACGTACAGGCTTATGTTTCTGCTTTCAGTTTCATGATGTTACAGGACCTGTAGGCCCATAGCTGTTAGCAGAGTAAAAAGGCACCAAACAACTTTCAGGTATGACAGAATTGACAGCGAGCTGGAGAACAGAAGCCACATGCACAACAGGAACAGAAGTTTTCAAGCTGTCAGAGGCTCGGTAAAGGTCACTGCACCATACAGGAGTTTCTTTCATCCTCAGACAAGCAATCAGACATGCTTACTTGAAAATTCCTTAGAAAGCTATTCTCCATGTGTTTTGGAAACAGTCAGAACAGATGAAAGACTGACATTTTCAACTCCCAAACTTGCTGTCTTCATTGTATGTAAAGTTACTTCTACGAGACAACCAAAATGTCCCAATCTTAACATGTAAGATTTGTAAAAAGGTAAATAAAACTGCTACAAGATGTAGCCAGGAGTGAATCACTAAGGCTAAAGATATTTAAGTAGAAACCAGAGTAATGTTCAAGTTCAGAGGGTTTGGAAAGAACCACAAATTAAGACCAAGGTCGTTGTCTGCCCTTTTCTATTAGATAAGGTTGTTTCCACTGTGATAGGTTATAGAAAAATACTTCTATTCAGCTAGCCAAAAACCAGCAACAGAAAACTCAGACTGTATGTTACATAAGCCTGCTGGACCTGCACAGCCACAGAAGTCCTTGAGAAAATGGAGCCTTCTAGTAATTCCCAAGGAAATTATAGTTGGAACAAAACTGGAAAGTGCAGCATAGAGGGAAAAGGACACCAAAAACAGCATCTGTAAAGGCTGATTTAGTTTCCCATAGTTGGCATAACCACAGCAGGCTTGCTAACGGTGGCATCTTCCTCTTTCCATTGAGAAATGATTGTTTTCAGCTGTGTGTAGAACTGCACTCCCTAGAAGAAAGGGAAGACAAGGATCAGATGTTTGGCCTTATGAATTCTTCAGGTCTGCACCAGTGGTATACCAAGCGGTTTTTGTTGTACCTACAGAGGGCTGAGTTTTCCTTTGGGGGAACAGGTTCTGTCATCTTGTTCCTTTTACCAGTTTCCCAAAGATTCTGTTTCTCTGAGAAAACTTGCTACTTAGATCTTCCTCCCTTCTCAAATTTCCTAAGACTTTTTTTTTTTTTTTTCTTTAATTAAAGAATAAAAAAATGAATTGGCTATTGTAACACTTATTATAATGGCTGTAATCACTGGCTGGTCTTCAGCTTCCTGGCTGAGATGGCTTCAAAGTCTCCTTGCTTATGAGGTCTGAGGACTGTCTCCCCATTGCCATTTATAATGTGATTTATTGCAACTCTATTAACCCAGCAGAATACTTTGAATTAGTTAAGTTACCTGCTTGCCATAGAAGTTAGTGTCTCCTCTGAAAGAAGCACGAGAGCCGGTGAAAGAGAACATGGGCAGAGGTACTGGGATTGGAACATTGACACCCACCTAAACAAAAGGAAAGCTGCCATATTAATCCCAAGAAGTAGTGGATTGCAGAACACTCTCCAAAAGTGACCTTATTTTCTTTCCTTAAATCTAAGGCTCAGTACTGTTGGTTGAGTAGTCAGGCACTAATCACTACAGCTGGATGGCTGTCCACTGTAAATGGTGAGTACTGATAGCAACAATTCTAGCTTGAACATACCTGACCCACATCTACTAAGTGAGAATATTTCCGAGCTGTGGCTCCATTGGTGGTGAAGATGGCAGTTCCATTTCCATAGGGATTATTGTTCACCATCTTAATGGCATCATCCAAAGTGTCTGCTTCCAGAACCACTAAGACCGGCCCAAAGATCTCCTCCTTGTAGCAAGTCATGTCTGGCTGCCAAGATGAATAGCACAAAAAGCCGCTTGTATATAGGATATATCGGACAGGATACAATGAAAGTATCCTAGGAAATAGTCTATAATAAACACACATGCTGCTGATGTTCAGGATATTCCCATCATACTGCATTGCCACAGGCCATCCTTCAGTCCTTCTTGCCTCTTCACCATTTCCCATGCCCTGCCATCTCTCCAGTCCACTACTGCTTTTCATCTCCAGAATGCTTTCTGCTTTTACTGCCTGCCTGACCTCACCTACAGATCTACTCTGACCAAGATGATTAAGACCAGGATTAATTCAGGATAGTTTACTTCAGTTCTTGTTGACAAAGCGACTAGAACATGTTATCCTTTCCAACTCAGTGTCCAGGATTTATGTCTGATAATTAGCAACAGCTGACAAACACAAAAACACCAACTGGAGAGTGCTTTAAATCCCTAATAACTAATACAGCAAAGTACAAAACATTCATTTGACAAGTTGTAAGTTTGACATGGCTTACTATATTACTAATCACTGTGTAAGAAAACTAAGAATCACAAAATCTCAGTGAAACTTACACTTTTGAATACCTAACAATATTCATGACACAACACAGGAAAGTTAAGTATTTTAAGATGTTTAATGAAACTAAAGTGAGAAAATTCTGAGATAGATTACAAACCTGAATTATATAAGAGCATAAAATCAATAGAATCCTAAAAATATGAAGTACAATAGCTGAATTACCAAGATTGGTTTGCTATAATGAAATCACTCATCAAAAGGCCCATGAAGAACTGAATCTTAAATATTGAGGAAATAATACCAGCTGATTGTATAAACATAAAAGAATGAATTTAGGTATGAAAACTCAGGTGCATCTGTACCTGGCAAAGAACAGTTCCCCATAATAGCATCCATCTGTTTTACACCATGCATTACATTTTGAAGCTGACTCAACAAAATTGTGAATATATTAAAAACCAAAGAGATTTTGTACCTTATCCTATACTATTCTTGTGAAGATTTCCACAAATAATTAACTTCTGTTTCTCCAAGTCCTTAAATTGCAAACTGCAGGAATGAAAATTGCAAGTTTGGTTGTTCATTATGCTCTTCCTTAGGCACCTGCTGCTAGCCATTACTACAGGTGGTACAATAGGCTTGACAGACATTCAGACTAACAAACTGCCCATATTATTGTTTTTATTGGCTGCATTCTGTTCAAGTTAAGATCATTAACCTCATTCACATTATGTTGTGCTACTGCAAATTCTTTTATCACCTCCACAAGAGCCCTACAATGAGCACTTCATTGGCATTTTGCAAGAGACATCTGAGACATTTAAGGCTTTCTACCTGGTGATTATTCATTACTGACTGATTTGGATAACCCATTTTTCAACCGACCCTGCAACATACAACATCAAGGACTGGCTTTGGTCATCTTACCTTGACCTTGGCAAGGATTGTTGGTCCAACAAAATTGCCATTTTCATAGCCCTTCACTTTGATATTACGTCCATCCAGAAGAAGGCTGGCACCTTCTTTTACTCCCTTCTCAATCAGACTGCAAACCCGTTCCTTAGCCTGAGGACTGATTAGAGGCCCTAGATCCGCTCCAGGCTGGTCTCCTGTGAAGAGACAGAGACAACAAGTTTTAAACCCTGACAGCTTCCTTTTCATAGGCATTATGGAGAGCTAACTACACTGGCAGGAAAAATCTCAAAACCCTCATGTGTCTGAGATGCAGAACACAGATTTGAGACATTAATAGACAGGAGTAATAGCCTGCAACTCTCATAATAAACAACTAAGGTGAAGAATAAGTATAACTTTAGGTGACCAGGAAGGAAGCCAAAATTCAACAACTGATTCTTCTCAGAAAGGAAACTTTTCCCCTTTGCAGGACTTTTTAACCAAAATGTAATTATCCTATAATTAATAATAGTCTCGTTTTTCCAAAGTACTTGTTTCCATTTTTCCTTTTTATTACATGCTTATTACAAATTGGGAGGATCTTTAACTGATGTTGCCATAAAAATAGTAGGTTTGAGTTAAACATAGGACATATCCTCAAAGCTCTGGTTAAAACAAGATCAACCCTGTAAACCTTGCATCACAGTCACACTGCCAAGCCTTCCTACATATTCCTAAATCCAAGTCTAGGGCTGTGTTTCCCAGTCCAAACAAAGGGACACACCATAGTATGGTAGACACACTGACCTAAAAAGCTACAATTGTACAGAAGTGCAGTACCTCATAAGAAATTATCACAGCCTGTACCTGCATTTACACGTAGATTTTTGGCTCTGTCCACAAGCTCTGGCAACCATTTCTGAGCTTCTCCCACTAGAATTGCTGTAGACAGGGCCATGCAGCGTTGACCAGCTGCTCCAAAAGCAGCTCCAACCAGCTGGTTCAAGGTATTCTCTTTATTGGCATCAGGCATCACCACACCATGGTTCTTGGCTCCCTGAAATACATCACATCCACAATCTCCCATTATTGACCACTCCATCCCACTTCTCTAGTTCTCTGGCAATATCTTCATATAGCATCTCTGACTCTGCTACCAACAGGCTGGCAAGAAGGGCAGCCTCATCACTTATCTACCAGTAGCAAAGTCAGCTTCTGCTGCTGAATGGCATGGTCTCTCAGCATTCACAGGAGACAGGCAGTCTCTGTGCTGAAGTATGCTCTACTCAGAGGCATTACCATGTTGGCCTGGACTCTCTTGCCGTTCCGGGATCCCCTCTCATAGATGTACTCGCCAGCCTGATTAGATCCCACAAAGCTGATTGCTCTGATATCCGGGTGGTCACAAATGAAATTCACAGCTTCAAACAGGAAATAATACATTATATACTGTAGTGCACAAATTATTCCCTCTTTCCCCATCCCCACAGTGCTAAATCTATGTATCTTATCAAAATTCCTGCCTGTTTCCTACATTTGAGTTTCCCTACTATCTGTCCATGCTTTTCTCCATTTATTTCTTAGCCTACCCTTCTGCTCATGCACCTGACTCTGTGCCGTCTCTTCATCCTCTGGGCATCTCCCAGGGCACCTGAACAATGCTGAAGTGAAGTTACTGTTGTCTATTTGTATCCTAATGTTCTGAAGGTAGCTGCACGAGGTGGAAAATACCACATTAGGAGCAAAAATACTGGCATCCACTCCACAGTAACTGGAGATTCTTGTTTAAGCTTCCTTGTGAAACCAAGATGATTTATCTATTTATTTCAGTTGGAGCTTAGGTTGCTAAACAGAATTTGAGCACTTAAAAGCCTTGGGAACTCTACCCCCAGCTCCCAGATAGTGTCCCCTGTATGTCATTGAAAATTTGGTGCAAGATGGCAGAGAATCTCTGTCATTTCCCCTCCATCAAGAGGACTGAAGCATCTGTGCAAACCTAATTAACAGCAATAGTGTCAGTCTCTCCAGCTTCTTTAGTACCTCCACTGAACATACACCACAACACTTGTACACTCCAGACATCTCTCAAGGGCTATTTTTACCTTCATGCTGTCCATGGATGATATTCAGGGTCCCATCAGGGGCACCAGCATCCTGAAACAGCTTGGCAAGAAACATGAGTGCTCCTGGTACACGCTCAGATGGTTTCATCAAGAAGGTGTTTCCACAAACCATAGCCATGGGGAACATCCAAAGAGGAATCATGGCGGGGAAATTGAACGGTGCAATTCCAGCACACACGCCGAGAGGCAGGCGGTAGGTGTAAGTGTCCATGTCTTTAGTGATGGAGGGCATGGTCTCTCCCAGTATGAGGGATGTCACACTGCAAGCATGTTCAACCACCTCTGCAGCAGAAAGAGCAATATGCCACTGGATGATCTGTCAACAGTGAGGCCCCAGAATCCCTTCTGACCATTTCCTTGACCTAAGTCTTTCTTGCAGCCTCTTTTACCACAACTTAAAACTCACTGTGCTCCAGAAAATATCTTTGCTCTGCCAAGCACTGTAAGCTCACTGCAAGAGGATTCTCTCGAGTGCATTTTATGTCACTGTGAGAGGAGCACAGAAACAACTGCCCCAGTAAAAGAAGCACAGGTATAGTATTAGTGTGCCACCTGGGACCCAACCTTGAGACATCTGAGCACAAGCAAGTTGTTCTTATCTCTTTACAGCAATTTGTAGTGACTCCTAGGAAAAGGAAGGATTTAACAACTTGAAAGTGAGTTAGAGTAACTCAATCTAAGGGAACTTTTCAGGTTAGAGTTCCAATTGCCACTTTTCTTTCAGGAGGCTGTGAGTGGAGCTACATATAAAGACACCCAGAGCAATCAGTTGCTCAGGAGACCTTCTCCCTTCCTATAGGTTATCAAAGCCCCTTTTTTAATAGGAGAAGCCAGCAGCTTACGGAGGCCTCGGAACACATCTCCCTCGGCATCAGCCAGGGTCTTCCCTTGCTCATAGGTAATGAGTTTTGAAATTTCTTTCTGAAATGGAAAAGATAGAAGTTTATGAATATTAGATAAGTGTCTGCTTGTGAAACAGGGTGCAGAGATAAGAGTTTAACAGAGAGTTGAACATCACTATGAAGACTGAATAGAACCTGGGAAAATCTACAGGGATTGATCTGCTCCTTGTAGTTTAGAAGCCAATAAGACACACAGATAACATTTTAGAAAAAAACAACTGTGTGTGGGGGTTATATTTTACAGCTTTTCATGTGCCACACCACAGATACACAGAAAAACCAATCTGAGGAATCCAAAGTCACAGTAACATTCTAGTTCCACCATTGTAATCTGGCACATTCTCCATCAAGGGTGAAAGTTCCTCTTGTGGTCTTTTAGTAAAGGATCAAATGCAGAATAAAATCCCCTAAGAAGCACTACCTCTCTGTCCCCATTTGCTTGGAGAGTGCTTTGCTGCTCCCCTCAATGACAGCATCTCCATTGGTTCCTCAATCATAGCAACCATGCCTCACCAAGAACACAGTAAACCCCAAATCTCTCAATTAATTCCTGAAGTTAGCTGCAATGCATTCAGCAGCAGCCATCACATACAGCCATGGTGTCTCACCAGATTGTCTTTGATGAGTTGTTGGTAACGCAGGAAGATTTGCTGGCGACTCAAAACAGATGTTTCTGACCAGCTCCAAAATGCCTTTTTGCAAGAAGCCACAGCTGCCTCCATCTCACTGGCTGTGGCTTTCGGTACACGGCCAACCACTTCATTTGTGGCCTGAATGAAAAAACAAGAACTGTTGTCCAAATGCTTAAAAGGGGAGTCAGAAGGGTCAGAATTCTGCACACGACCTCATTTCCTTTTGTCTTTGGTGGAGGACTCAGACAAGTGCAAGTGCTACTAATCTAAGATTATTTTCCAACACATAGCATCCGGCCTCAGAATTCACTGTGAATATCGTGGCTCGCAGACAGAAGCTCTCTGAAAGAACAAGAGCTGGAATTTTTACTTTGGTCTGAGAGTGAAATTAGCCTCTATCGGGATTTCAAATTCAGGTGGCATCAAATCACACCTGGTTGATTTCATGTACAGGGTGAGAGAAATGTTTCTGAAATGTGACATACATTAAGAAATTCAATAACAGAGCCTTTCTATGAGAAAAAAAAAAAAAAGTGAAGTGGGGTTTAAGCTTCCTTTCTGCAGATCAGTTTTACTATGCAGGGGAGGTAAAGGAAGTCATCACAGTCCTAAGACTGACATTTCATGTGGAAAGGAAACTGAGAAACAATTACAGTGCTAAATCCATCTTGATCTTCAAGTCTGAGCCCTTCTCCAGAAATATGTGTACTTTCCCCTTCTGTCAAATGCTGGTACAGAAACACAGACTTGAGTTGCATCGCGATCACTAATATATAAACTGGGGCCATTTCACTTACCGGGTTGTGGATATCAATCCATTCAGTAGCTTTGGACTCAACAAACTTCCCATCAATGAAGAGTTTGGTTGTTGGCTGTGGGGGAGAAAACACTGGCCAGTGAGTGAACTTTGTCTCAAGATGCCCAAATACCAGTGTGCTTTATTACAGGCAAGCCTTCATCATTTAATGCTATGCTGCTCATTAGAGTCTAGATTCAGTATTTCTAGTGAGAACCAGCTAACTGCTAAGGCTGAAATTTTTCATGCTCTCTGCCCCATTTTTCTCTCACTTTATATCAAAATGGCCAAAATGGTTTCTAAAAGCAGTTATAGAAAAAAATACATTGCTACAGTTGTGTTCAGAACTATTTTAATCTACTTAATCCCCCAATGTTTACTAAGTTAGAAAACTGAAAAACTGCAATTTATAAATCTTCAAAAGAAACAGTTAATAATTCACCTTTTAAGAATTCCGTGTACCCAGTGCACTGTACTATGTGTTTCCTTCCCATCAAGCCACCGGGTAGGTTTATCTCTTCAGCTCATGGCTACAGACACAGAACTGGACTTTCCCCATTCCCTGCAACTAAGAGGAAGGATCCTGCATCTTCTGAGTTTATAATGATTGTCCTGGCAAGAACAGAACTTTCCAATTCAGATGCAGAGAAGAGAAAAGGGAAGTCTGGAATAAGGAGGTAAATGTAGGACCAAAGGAAAAGCAGGGGTAGAAGCTGTAACTAGCACTAGGTAAGCAACAAAAGTGCAGCACAAAGGAGATCAGATTGGGACTGTATGGCTAAAGAGACTGGAAACTAGAAGTTGGTATTGGGAGGTAAGAGGAGAACCAGGAAAAAGCAAGAACTAGTTAATCATGCCACAAAACAGTGGGTTGGGGAGAACAAATAAGAAGGGGAAATGGATCTGCTGGATGGAAGACAGAAATAGGACATAACAGATCAAAATAATTGGGCCACAGAAAAAAATGTATCAGGTAACACCGTGAAGAAATTAGGATGAGGAATTCTGAGAGGGACATGAGGACTGAGATGGTATCCAAGGTGTAATGAAGGGAGAGAGATCAGAGGAAGAATAAAGAAAGCAAATGGGGATGGCTGAACGAGCAATGACAGTGAAAAAGTAGGCAGCAATGACAGCTGGGATGAAATGAAAAAGCAGGACTAGGATGAGAAGCATAAAGTAGGACTGCTAATGGTAAGTAAGATCTACTCATTTGGGAGGTAACATCAGGAGTGGTAAAAAAAAAAAAGTTGCATATGATTATGTAGCTCAAATTACATTTGGGAAAGACAGGCAGAAGTCTGCGCCTATGAAAACACAGTCCCCTCTAGAACCTGCAAGAAAGCACAGGAAATCTGAGTTTCTTGCCTGTCAGAAAAGGTCTTCTAGTGCCCCTCTAAAGAAAGACCAAGTCCTGCTGCTACCAGTCACTCCATCAGCACAAGTGCTATGTGTCTGCTGTGGACCTACAAGCTCCTTGTGGACTTGTTGCTCCTTGTGCAACAGAATTTATGCTGTTTTGTTGGTTGGTTTTTTTCAAATTGCTTAAAAGGGATATCTAGAAAATCACGCACATGAAGAAAAAATATTTTAACCAAGCCAGGAGAGACTGAATTAAGACTGATTGCACTTTATCAATAAGAACACCACCTATTTTCTGTGGAGATTGAGGCTGGTGGGGGAACAAGCCCTGTAGCAAAGCAGACCATCTGAAGAACCATGATTGAGCTGTTCAGAACTTAAGAGAGTGCACAGCCACGGGTACTGCAAGACAAAAAACCCCACTGTAACAGCTAAAGTTGTTTGATACTGCCCAAACAGATGATACAAAGCCAGCCCACAGAGCTGGAAACAGGTTTTTTTCCACACGTCGTCATCAGTCATATAGTCTGTATTAATTTTTGATTATGTTATTGAAGAGATCTCACATACGGTAAAAGACACCTAAAAACTGGACAAGAAAGAAAAAGGCTGGTGTATACGCAGCTCAGTGTGCGCTGCTTAAGGAGAAAGCAGATCAGGATGCAATTAACCGAACTCACGTTCTGCCCCCGGGCGCACCGGCTGGGCCAGGCTGGGCTGCCCGCAGGCAGCAAGGCGGGCTGCTCCCCGCGCCCCTTCTCAGCCCCGCACACCAACCAGCCTGACACTCCGCTTCTCTGCCTCCCTCCGGCCGAGCCCCGGGGCTCCCCGCACGGG